TGATTTTGGTTTGTGAGTAAATTAACATTCTTTTTCTTTTAACAGATGAGGTAAGTATTTATATTAATAGATAATGACAAATATTCTAGGTTTCAAGGCTGAATATTTATAATTATGTGTATTTGGTTACATTTATTATATTTCTTTCTGAGGTATGTATATGCTACTTTTGCGCTCATTTTTTTAACGATATATAGAAAGGTTTTAAAGATTTATTTATTTATTTATACATGCACTGGGTACAGTCAGAAGCACGGGAGGGTGAGAGAATTCACCAGAGCCAGAGCGGGGAGCAGAGCAGGCAGAAGGACCGAAGCACACTGCTGAGGGGAGCAGCGGGCAGCAGGAGAGGTCTGCGCGCCATGTGCGACCCTTGCCCTGGTGGCTGGGGATTGAACCGGCACTGCAGAAGCTGCTGGCAGCTTCGGAACCCAGTGCTCAACTGCTGCGCTGCCAGGGAGGCCCTATAGGAAGGTTTTAGTTTATTTTAGTGGCTACCTTTGTATTCTGATATCTTTTCTAACACCTTTATTGTCATCTTAGTAAATTATTCTCTTCTCAGTGAATTATTATTTGATCCCTTATTGCTTGTATGCATCAGTGAGCTTATTCTATTTCTTTTACTCTGTTCTCCCATCTTTAGTTGTACCACTCCTACTTAATCACAGAATAAAATATTTGTATACAAGTCTTCCATATTTATTTCACCACACCCCACTTTTTGTCCTCTCTATATGAATTTAAACATTCAAAATCAGTACATTTGCTGTAGTTCTGAGTCATCTCGTGGTCGGATGAAATGAAACAGTTTACTTCCCTCAAGAGGGGTTCATGAAAACCAGTTATTTTTAGTGTGGGTGCTTGAAGAAGCGCTTACTTAGATATAAAATCATTGGTTCATAATTTATTTCACTGAATTTTAAAAAACTACAGTTGCACTTCTGCCTTGCCTTGCCTTGTATTTTATTTTTGAAAAGGCAGATTTAAGTTTAATTCTTTTGCATTTGTAAGTTATTTGCTCTTTTTATCAGGAGGTCTTGAAGATTTAAAAATTAATTATTGAAATCTGAGTTTTGTTAGGGATATGGTTTAGGGCCCAATTGTTTCCTCAGGTGTGTGGCATGACCTTTCAATATACACTCCCAAGCCTTTTTTCTAAGAAACTTATTTCTGAAACATTTTACTGGATTGTAAATATTAATATTTTAAATATGAATGCCATTCCACTGTTTTTTTCTTCTAAAAAAATCAAACTGTACAAATAAATTTGCTTCATTGCCTTATCTCCCAATCCATTTCTTCTGACTTTAAAAAATTCTTTATTTCTTTTTATTTTATTTTTTTTAAATTTAAATTTTATTTTTATATTTCCCATACAATTGCAACCCCCTTATTTTGACCCCAATCCCTCCCCTCCCCACCCTCCACCCCCCATAGAGTGTCTCTGGTTCATAGTTGTTTGTTGATTTTGATTTTTACTTTCTTATAGTTATTCTTTTTCCTGGTCTCTTATTTAAGTTTTCTAGATTCCTGCTATGAGTGAGACCATCTGGTATTTTTCTTTTTCTTTCTGGCTTATTACGCTGAGCATGATCCCTTCCAGCGCCATCCATGTTGCTGCAATATTTACAATAGCTAAGCTTTGGAAACAACCCAAATGCCCAAAAATAGATGACTGGATCAAGAAGATGTGGTCCACATACACAATGGAATATTACTCAGCATTCAAAAAAGATAAACATGCAATTTGCAAAAAATTCTTTATTTCGGGCCTCCCCCGTGGCACAGCGGTTGAGCGCTGGGTTGCAAAGCTGCCCGCAGCTTCTGCAGCGCTGGTTCGATCCCCGGCTGCTCCCCGGCCACCGGAGGAGGGTCCCACATGGTGCGCAGACCTCTCTTGGCGCCCGCTGCTCCCGTCAGCGGTGAACTTCGTCAGTCTGCCTGTTCTGCTCCCTGCTCTGGCTCTGGTGAATTCTCTCACCCTCCTGCACTTCTGACTGTACCCAGTGCTTGTATAAATAAATAATCTTTAAAAAAAATTCTTTATTTCTTTTTTATTTTCTTGTTTTCTACCATTTTAATGACTTTTGTTATATTTTAAATTTGAGTTTATTTTCATTTGGGAACTTTCTAATTTATTTTTCATTTCTGAGTTAATACCATCTTTTTCTTTCTTTTCGTTCTTTAGTTTACGGAACTCCAACCTCCCCCTTTTGTTTTTTTCTTTCTAATTTTGAGTGACTTTCCATGTACCTATTGTTTGTATTTGATCTTGCTTGGAGTATTGTTACATAGACTGTTTCTACCTCATGGTTGCTTTTGGTTGGGGATGAATTTTCCTAAATTCCTGTGTTTTGTTTTTCTTTGAATTAGCTCTGTGGAACTGTTCATCTTTTTCCTGCTATGTTTGTGATATTGTGATCTATTATGTAAATAGTGGCATCCTAGACACTTGGTGGTGTAAGAATAGATATATAGATCAATGAAACTGAAAGACAAATCTATATTTATTGCTAATTGATTTTGACAAAGGTGCAGAGGGAATTCAATGGTAGTGGGTGGGAATAGCATGTTCCCCTAGTGGTGCCAGGAAAATTATATTTCCATGTACAAAATAATGCACTAACATCATAAATAAAAGCTAACACAAAATGGACTTAATATGTCTAGGAAAAAACATAATTGAAAATTTTTTGTTAGAAAAAGATGTCTTATGTATATAACCAGAAAGCACAATCAATAGAAGAAAAAAAAATCAGCTAAATTGGGCTTCATCAAAATTTAAAATTTTAACACTTTTAAAAGACACTGTCTTTGGAAAATGGAAGGGCAAGCCACATACTAGGAGAAAATATTCATAAATCATACATTTGATAAAGGACTTACATTTAGAATATATAAATGCATCATTAATTCAGTAATAGTGAAACAATCCAATTAAAAAATGGGCAGAAGTTTTGAATAGCTATTTCACCAAGGGAAAAATACAAATTGCTAATGATCAGATAAAACTGTTTAGCATCATTAGTCATTTGGGAAACACAAATTAAAATCACAATAAGGGGGCCTCCCTATGAAGCTATCCGGGCCAGGGAGCAACCCACATGGCACAGCAGACCTCTCCTGACTCGCCCTCTGCTCCCCTCAGCAGTGTATTTCAGTCAGTCTGCCTGTTCTGTTCCCCACTCTGTCTGTGGTGAATCCTCTCACCGCCCCCCCACACCTCTGGCCTGTACCCCGGCTATTGTATGCATAAATAAGTAAATCTTTGGAAAAAAATCAAAGTAAGATACTTAGTAGAATGGTTATAATCAAAATCACTGACAGTACCAGCCATGGGTGAGGATATGCTGGTAGGTATGTAAAATATTAGTATCTTTTTTTTTTTTATAGAGGCATGTTTTTTAATTTATTTATTTGTTTGTTTGTTTTGTTTATACATGCACTGGGTACAGTCAGAATCGCGGGAGGGTGAAAGAATTCACCAGAGCCAGAGTGGGGAGCAGAGCAGGCAGAAGGACCGAAGCACACTGCTGAGGGGAGCAGCGGGCGGCAGGAGAGGTCTGCGCGCCATGTGGGACCCTCCTCCGGTGGCTGGGGAGCAGCCGGGGATAAAACCAGCACCGCAGAGGCCGCGGGCAGCTTCGCAACCCAGCGCTCAACCGCTGCGCCACCGGGAGGCCCAATATTAGTCTCTTTTTAGAAAAACAATTTGGTACTTTTTAAAAACTAATACATAAACCTACAACATGGACCAGTAATTTGACTCCTAGGTATCTGCCTAAAGGAAATGAAAACATGTCCATTTAAAGACTTACACGTGATGTTTCAGCAACATTAGTCATAATCACCAAAAGTTAGAAATAATTCAATAATCCATTAGTTGGTGATTATATAAACAAATTAGAGTATATGAATGCAAGGAAATACTATTTGGAAAATAAAAAGGAATAAACTGTGCTACAACATGTGTGAATTTCATAAACATAATGCTAAGTGAAAGAAGCTCAACATATTGTGTGACTCCATTTATATGAAATTTCCAGATTGTATGATTGCATTTATATATAATTTCTCTAGAGACAGAAAGTAGACTAATGGATTGGCTCAGGCTGGAAGTAGAAATGAGAATGCCATGTAAAGAGGCACAAAGGAACTATTTGGGGTGTTGGAAATATTCCAAAACCATACTTGGTGACAGTTGCACAACTTTGTAGATTTACCAAATATCATTGAATTGCAGTGGGTGAATTTTATGTTACATGTTAATTATACCTCAGTAAAACTGATTTTTAAAAAAGTAAACAAGGAGAAAGGATTTCAAGGTAGCCTAGATGATAATGACAGTCTTACACCTCCCAGTATTTCCTCTATAAACCATACAGAACAAGATAGGGGAGAAACAAAACTACATGAAAACAACACCTTCAGTAAGATTTGACAACAGAGAATGTCCAAACTTCAAAATAATTATGAATAAAATGGGAAAAAAACCCTCAAATCTCAGTTCATGACCATTCTGATTTGTATTGTAGTACATTGCAGCATAAATTACAAGGAAAGGACTTAAAAGTACTGTGTAATTTGAAGGGGCAGGGTTTTGTTTTTTTTTTTTTTTTTTTTTTTCGGGATGATTTTATTCCCCAGCCCCACACCCTTTTTGTTTGTGAAGGAAAAAGACAAATACTGGAGGGGCAATTTCTTCTCTCTTTCTTCCTTACCTAAGAGGTTTGTTTTGTTTTGTTTTTCCATTGAGGGACATGGATTTATAATATTGTATATATGATTGAGGGGAGCAGGTTTATACTTTCCCAGATGGGGCAGTTTTTTAAATAGTTTCTGAGATGGGATATGGGTGAGTGATAAAAGGCAAAGAGGAAGAGACATTTTTTGGCTATTAAATGTGAAAGTAAAGCAGCACATGGGGAAAACAGCATTCTGAAGACGAAAGAAAGCTGAAAAATGAGAGGGCATAGCATTTTACCAGGAATGTGTAAAACAACTTAATTAGCCCCTCTTTAGTTCATTTAGCATCTCCCTGTTAGTCTTCCCATTCTGTCTTGACATAAGCAGGCTATCAGAACTGTGAATTTGCTTATGAATTCCCTATCAAGTTTGTTGCTTTTTCTGACAATGAGTCTGTCATTTTTATTGACAATGTTACTGCGTAGGTTTTGTCCACACTTAAGCGTCCAAATCAAGTCAGCAGTTGGTTTTCACAGCCAGTCCTACTTTGGTAGAACTACAAGGATCAGTTGGCTTGGGGGTAGTAGGAAGATGGAAGCAGTCCCAGAACATCACAGATTCCCACTTTATTACTGGAAATTCATTAGTTTTCCATGAATAAATGCTTCTCATCTTATGTGCCTCTACTTGATTTCCAGAGCCCTAAAATGGTGGTGGTTGTCCAGTTTCATAATTGTTTCTAGGGAGATTTTCTGACTTCTAAACTCTGTCATACCTGGAATATGACAGAATAAAATTGATACCCACACATAGATATATTAATAGATGTATATTCATATATGTACATTATTTGTGTGTATATACATTATTTGTGTGTATATGTATACACACACACACAAGACAATATCAAAATGTGACCTCCTCACAACTGCATATAGTTGGGTTCCTCTTGAACAGGTATGTAAACTACAAATCAATGGTGAAATCTGATCCAGTGCCTATATTTATAAATAAAGTGTAATTATAATACAGCTATTCATTTATATATTGTCAATGACTGTTTTCATATTACAACAGCAGAGTTAAATAGTTGCAGTAGAACCTGTATGGTACAAAAGCCTAATAACCAACCCTTTACACAAAATGTTTCCTAACCTTTGCCTCGGAACACTATCATCAATTAATATAATTGCCATTATACATACACTGTGACTTTGGCTAGTGCTTTTATAATTCACTTTTAAATTAAATTATTTTTTATCGAGGTAACCTTGGTTTACATTGTTGTTTGTATTTTGGAAGTATAGGGTACCCCACTTCAGGTGAATAACACTGACTTGTGTTTTCAGTTTCACCTATATCCTTGCTGTTAATTTTCTCAGTAACACAATGACAAACTGGATAGATTTCATCATTTATCAGAGTTCAGAAACTAGTGACAGTTTATATAAAGTATGCTCATGTAAATTATTCAAAGTACATATTCTTAAAATTGATACTAAGTCTAATGCTTAAATATTAAATATAATATTTAAGATAATCTAACAATTCTAAAATTTAATAACAATATAGAATTCAATGTTATAATTTTATTTTTACTTATAGCATTCATTCCAACAATGTTACATTTATATTAAATTTTGCCTTCATTATGCCTGCTCTTTCATGATGAAACTACTGCAAAGTTCTACCCGTGAGGAAACACACATTTTTTACTTGACATTTCGAAATATTTTTGCTTACTATATTTTTACTTTTACACAAGGAATATTTAAGTTGCTAGAACTGAAAACTTTTTCTTTAATGGAGCAGATTTCTCCATTCAAAATATCTTACCTGTTGGAAGAGACTTTTAGTGCTCTTTGCTGAATTTGTCTGTGGATTGAACCTGAGGGAGGGAGGTTATCTGGAAATTTGTCTTCTTGAGGTGCTAAAGATAGGCCAACAAAAGTTTCATTTAACATATCATCTTTGTCCAAAGGCCCCAGGAATTCTGTTAAAAAATGATTAAGATATGAGTCAAATACAGTTTTTGTTAATTCCCTCATAGGCATGATTATAGGAAAGCTTTCACATAGTCCAATGGAATATTATTTGTCCGTTTACTATGTAGCACATACTAGAAATGTTGTAGTTACAGTCCCTATGATTTCTCTTATACTTAGTTTACGCAGGGTAGATTGGCAATTGAGTAATGAATTATTTTCAAGTTCACATTTTAAAAAATTATAATTTTCCCATTCATAATTTAAAAAAACTTTAAGATTTAATGTAAGATTTGTCTTAAAAATTTTTTATTGTTTTTTTATTGAGGTAACATTGGTTAACAACTGTATAGGATTTAGAAGGGGTGTGAACCACCAACGAAAGCAACATTCATAGTTTTCAAAGATTTATTTTATTTATTTATACATATAAGAGCTGGGGTGTAGGCCAGAGGTGTGGGGGCAGTGGTGTATGTGAGAGGATTCACCAGAGACAGAATAAGGAGCATAACAGGTAGATCTACTGAAATACACTGCTGAAGGGAGCAGTGAGAGACTGGAGAAGTCTGCTGCACCATGTGGGTCAGCCACCTGGCTGGGGATCGAATTCATACCACAGAGGCTGGCAATATCTTGATAGTACTGAGACTTTAACCCCTGCACCACCAGGGAGGCCCAACATTCATAGTTTTTAAATAGCATTTTATTATGCAAATCAAAACTACAATGGGATACCATCTTACACCAGTGAGAATGGCATATATTAAAAAAACTAGCAACAAATGTTGGCAAGGATGTGGAGAAAAAGGAACTCTCCTACACCGCTGGTGGGAATGCCAACTGGTCCAACCACTAAGGAAAGCTGTGTGGAGGTTCCTCAAACTACTAAAGATAGAGCTTCCATATGATCCAGCAATTCCACTCCTAGGTATTTACCCAAAGGACACAGAAACATCAATTCCAAAGAGCACCTGCACCCCTGTGTTTATAGCAGCACTATTTACAATAGCTAAGCTTTGGAAACAACCCAAATGCCCAAAAATAGATGACTGGATCAAGATGTGGTACATATACACCATGGAATATTACTCAGCATTCAAAAAAGATAAACACATGCAATTTGCAGCAACATGGATGGAGCTGGAAGGGATCATGTTCAGCAAAATAATCCAGAAAGAAAAAGAAAAATATTGGATGGTCTCACTCATAGCAGGAATCTAGAAAACCTAAATAAGGGACCAGAAAAAAAGAATAACTATAAGAAAGAAAAAACCAAAATCAACAAACAACTATAAGCCAGAGACACACTATGGGGGGGCGGGGAAAGGAGGGATTGTGGTCAAAATAAAGGGGGTGCAATTGTATGGGGAATATAAAAATAAAAAAAAATAAAGATGCACCTACTGAAGGTATTCAAAACTCTGAAGGTCCTAGGTATTTACCCAAAGGACACAGAAACATTAATTCCAAAGGGCACCTGCACCCCTGTGTTTATAGCAGCACTATTTACAATAGCTAAGCTATAGAAACAACCCAAATGCCCAAAAATAGATGACTGGATCAAGAAGATGTGGTACATATACGCAATGGAATATTACTCAGCAATCGAAAGAGATAAACTCATGCCATTTGCAGCAACATGGATGGCGCTAGAAGGGATCATGCTCAGCAAAATAATCCAGAAAGAAAAAGAAAAATATTGGATGATCTCACTCATAGCAGGAATTTAGAAAACCTAAATAAGGGACCAGGAAGAAGACTAATTATAATAAAGAAAAATCAAAATCAACAAGCAATTATAAACCAGAGACACACTATGGGGGAGAGGGGAGAAGAGGGATTGGGGTGAAAATGAGGGGGGTGAGAATTGTATGGGGAATATAACCAAGATGAAAATAAATACACTGTGCAAAAATGAAAAATGATGTAAGAATTATGTAAAATAAAATATTAAAAAAGAAAAAATAAATAGCATTTTATTAATAAAATATTCTTTTGTTAATCAATTTTCAAAATATTATATTAAAAATTTTAAATAGGTGACGCTCACATGTACCATACAATTTGAAAACAAAAATATCTTTTCCAATATTTTCTTTGAATAGAATTTTAAAGTATATAGGAAGAGTTGACTATTCTCACATCATACAGATGTACAGAGAAAACTATAATATTGGCAACTTTGATAGAACATTGTTTTAGCAAATTTTTTGAAACAAAATGAAATTGTAAAAATACATACTTAAAAAACACAAACCTTACTAAAAATAAAATTCTCAGACAATATCAAGTATATTCACATTATTGTACAACATATCTCCAGAACTTTATCTCACAAAACTGAAACTGTATACTCATTAACCAGCTCCTCCATTTCACCTGCCCCCAGCTCCAATAATCACCATTTTTACTTTATTTTTCTATAAATTTGACTACTTTAGATACTTCATATAACTGGTATCATACAGTATTTGCATTTTTGTAACTGGCTTATTCACTGGCACAATGTTCTCATGGTTCATCCATGTTGTAGCACATGACAAGTATTTCCTTCCTGTTTTAAGGTGGAATGATATTCTTCTGTGAGTATATACCACATTTTTTTTTTCAGCCATTTATCCATCCATGGAGGTTTGGGTTGCTTCCACCTCCTAGCTGTTGTGAACAATGCCACTATAAACATGGATGTGCCGATGTTTTTGATACCCTGATGACATTTCATTGGCTATACATCTATAAGTTGGATTACTGGATCATATGTAGGTTATTTTTAGATTCTTTTGAGGAACCACCATATTGTTTTCATTGTGACAGCACCATTTTACAATCCCACTAGCAGTGTACAAGGATTCCAATTTCTCCACATTCTTGTCAACTCTTGTTATTTTCTTTTTTTTTAAGTAGCTATCTTACTGGCTATGAGGCGCTATCTCATAATTTTGATTTGCATTTCCATATTTTCGGTGATGTTGAAGTAGATTTTGAAAATCTACAAGGATGGAATTAGAGACTAAAGTTTCTTGGGAGATACTAATAGGATTATTTTGAGTCCTTTATACTTATGAATATGTTTAAATTATACCTTTTTAAAAAAAGATTTTACTTTTACTTATGCATGTAAGAGCTGGGGTGTAGACCAGAGGTGCAGGGATGTGTGTGTGTGTGTGTGTGTGTGTGTGTGTGTGTGTGCGTATGTAAGAGAAAGAGAGAGAGAGAGAGGATTTGCCAGAGACAGTGGGGAGCAGAACAGGTGGATCTACTGAAAAACACTGCTGAGGGTCGCAGTGGGTGAGACAGGAGAGGTCTGCTGTACCATGTGGGTCAGCTCCCTGGCCGGGGATTGAACTTATGCTGCAGTGACTGCCAATAGCTTCATAGTGCTGTGACTTAATCCCTTGTGCCATTAGAGAGACCCTAAATTATACCATTTTGAATATACAATTTTCTGTGGTTACAATTAGGAGAAATGGCTGAAGGGAAGAATGGTTAGAAAAGATTAATAGTCTCTTCTATATTTGTTTTTTTGTTTTTTTTTTTTAAATAGAGGCATGTTTTATTTATTTATTTGTTTGTTTGTTTGTTTTGCTTATACAAGCACTGGGTACAGTCAGAAGCACGGGAGGGCGAGAGAATTCACCAGAGCCAGAGCGGGGAGCAGAGCAGGCAGAAGGACCGAAGTACACTGCTGAGGGGAGCAGCGAGTGGCAGGAGAGGTCTGCGCGCCATGTGGGACCCTCCTCCGGTGGCCGGGGAGCAGCCGGGGAGCAGCCGGGGATCGAACCGGCGCCGCAGAGGCCGCAGGCAGCTTCTCAACCCAGCGCTCAACCGCTGCGCCACCGGGGAGGCCCCCTTCTATGTTTGTTAATGTTTAAGTTAGGCAGTCTTAAACCATAGTTATGATATTATGTTTTAATTTTTAAAATACAGCATTATATTAACTGAATTCCAGGGAAGGTAGTAGGCATGACTAATACTTTTATCTACTAAACAAAGAATAAAGTCTTAAACTATGAAAAGGCTGAATTTTGTTGGAGCTGGAACAGAGGATCAGGTAGGGAAAGTTTATAGTCTTAGTAATAGATTACTTTAAAATCATATTCTTGTGTTCTGTTGGTAGACTGAGTAAGAATTTGGGCTGAAAGATTCTGAATTTGATAACTTTAGGTGCTTGCCAGAAAGCAAATTATGAAGAATTTTGTTTTGCTAGAACAAAAGTTTTAAACTGGTAGTCCAGGTACCAACAGATGTTTAACCTGCAATATTTGAAAAATTATTTTGAATTATTAACAATTAAAAATTGAGAAATTTAAGAATCTAGAGTTAGGCCTTTTTTTTTTTTTTTTTCAAAAATCAGATTTGTCAATATCTGGCTTCCATTTCCTAAGAGTTGCAGTCATTTGAACCAGAATGATTATGGCACACTACAGTTTATCCCAGTCCTTATGAAACCCCATTACAGCTACAACACCAAAGCTGAGAATGTTCTCCTATTTATCATTTGACTTATACCCTCATTGGCATTGAAGTTTGGTTTAGGACAAGGTCATCAAACTACAGCCCTTAGAGCAAATATGACCTCAACCTGGTTTTGTATGGTCCAAGATAGAAGAATGGTTTTTACAGTGAATGACTGAAAAAATTCAAAGCAGCATAATGGTATGAGGCATGTGAAAATTTGTGAAATTCAAATTTCAGTGTCCACATAAAATTTCAATGGAACACAGCCATGCATTTTTGTTTAAATATCAACCATGACTGTTTTGTACTGCCATGTTCGAGTTGTGTAGCGAGAGATCATATGTCTTGCTAAGCCTAAAAGATTACTATTGGACCTTTACAAAACAGTTTGCTAAACTCTGCTCTAGAACAAAAGGGGAAAGCTATCTCCATCTCTTTTTTAGTCCTTTTATTTTTCTGTTCTCTTGCACTATTTTGTTCACTCTCATATCTTAACACATACTCCCTCAGACCCAGGATAGAATTGCCTTATCAAATTCCATTTAATAGA